CCCCCACTCACCTCCCCTCTTTGCCTCCTTCTTTGAGGAAGGTAATTGTTGGTAAGATCTAACACCTAGCCTTCTTGGCGAAAAATCTTGGAGGTCCCTGTGCAAGTTGTCTCTTGGTGGTCCAAAATTGATGAGAGTTGGCTTCGGCCGCCACCCGGCTGACCAGGGCAAAATTCAAAATTCAAATTCCTGCCAAACTATAAATGTTTAATATATCCTGCGCACTCATGTACCTTATGCAGTTGCGAACGCTGTAAAACACTTACATAAAAAAAGACTTTCCTGTAAATACATGATAGCAATACCACACGCCCCGCGCGGCAGTGCGAGAACGCGGTTGACTTGCCTGAGCCAGGGGTAACTCCGGGAACACGCTTATTTATAGTATTGATCTTTGCGTCAGTCCCATATATCGCACTTAAATACATGCGGGAGAAGTTGAGGCATTCACTAAAGAAAAACTTTTCCGATATCTTTAGCTACAGCGGAAATATTATCGAAGAAAGAGGATTGGTCGGTAGCGAGACTGAAACCTGCAGAATGGCACCGTGATTTTCCGACTCTCCGTAGTTGGAAGGTGCGAAATCCATCTAAATATTAACCAAATGTCCCCAAACTCGGCAACCAATGAGAGGAAAGATGGATCTAGCCTCCGTGGATTTCCGTGTCTTAAGCGAGCTAAAAACAAGAAAAGTTACAAGGTGGTTTTTTTGAGGCAATTGTTTAAAAAAATGTGTGGTCGATTAACCCACGCAATGCTACTGTATCATCTCAGACAAGCTGAACTTTAATATATTAGAAACTCTTTTGTGAAATTATCCGCAAAACAATTGCATTTTGAAAAAAATAACGTCGACGTCTTTGCTATTTTTCTCGTGGCCTGAAAGCCAGAAAGGGAAACACTGCTGTACACGAGAAACGCTTGCCGTGAGACGTATAAGCTTGCTGCCATCTTGCTGTGACATCACGGCTGCGTTAAAACATATCTGCTGATTGGACAGTTGTTTTGATCAGCCTGAACACTGTACTCATAGATACGGGCGTAATGAAGATTCCTTTCTATTTGCCGTCACCAATAATTGGGCTTAATTTCGGGATTATGCTAATTTAGTGCTGATGTGGACTTCAAGATAACTGCAAATTATATTGTTCCAGTATTTGCCATGTTTTTGGCAGAAGCAGAATGAAGATTACTCAGGTATATTTCCGTGGATTTAAGCATATTATTGGTAGGCCTACTTACTCATAATAATGATAAAAGCAGAAGAACAATGTTATTTGTGAGGCTGCGTGGTGAAATCAGGTGCTCTTCAAAATAATGAAAATAAAGAAACTGACACTTTTCCGCTGGTTTGGCACTTTTTATCGAAATTTTGATTTTTGGCCCTTCTGTGTCCATTTAAGAATCCATATCAGTGTGAATTATATTGAAAAACGTTAATTCTCATTTTCCACGGACTCTCAAGCTAAGGAAATAACTCATCTTTAGCGGCCATTTTCTCACTAATTTTACCTCTCAGACCAAGCGACCCCCACCTCCTTCATTCGCAAATACCTCGACTTCTATTCAAGACAAATGGATATTTTTTTTCATCCAAAGCAAGACAAATGAACAAGCTGTAGATGATGCCACTAAATCCATATGCCAAAAATTGATGAGTGCCCGATTCCTCCACGTTGTGACACATTTACAGAATATATTATATACACACATCAAATAGGAATGAATGCAAGATTGTAGTTCTGAGGCATATTTCCATGGTATGGAACGGGGAGGGGGGGAGAACATGTCTTCACTAGGCTAAAATAACGATGTAATTTATTAGTTATGCGCATAATCAATTTGAGTTATTTGCATTTAGTTTCAATTACAAGTTTTTAAAAAAAGAAACTAAGCGTGATATTTTTTATTAACCTTTTAGTTTCCCCGCTCTCTGAGCTGTTTGGTTACAATTTGGTTAATTAATTATGCGCTTATATATTCAAATGAGTGCATAATCAAACAATTAAAACGTTATTTGTCACATTTTCTTATTCATCTTTTTGCAAAAAAAGATTTGTATACATCCACATGTAACAAAATGGACATATAGATGTCGCTAGTCGCGTGATTCAACTGCCTAAGTGCCAAGAGACAAATTTTTCAGAAGCAAAAAACCATTTCATTTCATTATGCTCATACCTCTATGAATCTGAAATTCAGATATAGGCCTATGATATACTATGATGTAGGACAATGGTCTGTAACTAACTTTAAATAGAAAAAGCTGTCTTACATTAAATACTGGACATAGGCGGTTTAGACCTACCAAAATCTGCGTGATTCTACTGCCTAAGTGACAGTATGACGGTGTCTAGGCGTTTGAATCATGTCAATCGTCACTCGACGAGTGCCAATGGTGGCTTGGACGTTTATGTTATCAACAAAAACAAATCGTAATAAATGTAGGAGTAATTATAAAGTTAAAAGTAATTATTTCAGTTATTTGGTTTGATCTTCTGGGGCAGGACTGTTTTTGGTCTCATGGAGTTGGACTTGGTAAAAAAGACCATTAATCTTAACGTTCAATTTGTACTGGATGTTTTTGTATTGTGTGTATCAAAGGCAATGAAAGTTTGTGACTACGGGGTCGTTTTAGTTACAGCTAGGTCTGAATGGTCGATAAATCGAACAACAAAACGGAAGGGGTACTCTCTTTCTTTCTTAAAAACGTTAAAGATTATCCGAGATTTTCAGTTGATAGGAAATTTTGAATTTTGCCCGGATGGAGCCCGAAGCCTACTCATCGATTTTAGACCATCAAGGGATCTTTAACGTTCGCAACTTGCACACGCGACCTCTGAGATTTTTCTCCCTTGTCTGAGAAGGTTAGGTGTAGATCTTTCCTACCAGAAGATCAAGGGTGTGGCTGAAAGACAGCAGTAAAATTAGTTAGAAGGAGACCAGGAGTAGCAGTAGAAAGGCTGCAGAAAGAGTCAGGAGCCCAGAGGAGGGGGACAAAGGAGGTGAGGGGGTAGGGGCAGAAAGTGTAAATGAAAGCAGACAACAGAACATTGCTAGAGAGCAGGAAAGGAGGAGGGGAAAGGAGACAATTTTAGAGAAGGACATTTTTCCGTCACTGCCCTGATTCAAACCGGGGACTTTTGAACGAGAGGCGAACACCTTAACCTCTAGGCCACGAGAGCCCCCTTGGAATAGTTTGAATTTATTGCATGCAGAAAAATGTGTGTGAAGGGTTTGGAGCGGGGTTGCTTGGCCTATGCCCACCATCTTGACCTGCAGTACACTTAGAGTCTGTTTTTTTGGTTTTGAAAAGTTGGCAGCTATGCAAATTTCATCATCAGTATTGGAAGATACATGTTCAAGGTTTACTGTCAAATAGGTTCTTGAATGAAAAGAAAACGCAACTTAAATATGTTGTTCAATGCTCCCCATGCGAGAGTTTACTCTTTAACAAGTTTTTGTTAGAGGGTTTCTGTCTGAGTATTTGTTCAAAACCCTTTGATTTCAAATGGGGATCGAATTTTTATCTTGCAGCAGGCTTGGAATTCCTGGCGCCAAAAATGTCTTAATATGACAAGCACAAAGGCTGTTCTAGATTTTGCCCATTTCCGAAAGGAGATAAAATTCTTGATCTCACGTATCATTGAGTCATGTTCATGAAGAAGTTTCCATTTTTATATATATCCACTTAGCTAAATCATGTCAAAGATTCAGTGGAGATCTAAAACTGTGTTAAGTAAGTAACCTTAAAGTGACCAAAGGGAAATTTAACATATTGTAATATGAAGTCTGTATGTACTGGAATATTTTGTAGAGTTAAAGAACGCTTTAAAATTCTGAAAACTAAAAACAGTACATAGTTTTAGAAGCTTGGACTTTTAGTTGAGGTGTTTGTTTTTTCTCACTGAGATTTTGTTATGAAAGTTGGTGCTATTTCATAGTGGATTTTTCTTCTGAGACAACCGTTTGTAGTCATTTTTTTCTCTTTCTTTTCAGAGATGAATATGATATCCTGCCTGTTTTGGAGCCCAAGCACAACAAGTGTCCCTTCATTCTACGAGACCATAAACTCGGTGTAGAGGCATGGGCAGTCAAAGTTTTGCTGAAATATGCAGCGAATCGCCTCATTGGCTGGAGAGGACGCCTTTCCTCTGAGAAGTTTCTAGGTATTTGATGTGTTATTTTGCTTTTTTACTTTTTTTCTTCCGTGAGCTTTGAGGGTGTCTGCCACAGATTCACTCCATCGTCGCCTTGGTCTTCCTCTGGCTCTCCATCCAGAATATTTAATGTTGTATGCTCTCAGAGCTGGATGGTTTGAGGGCATCCGCGTGAGGTGTCCGAACCACTTGACCTTTTTTTTTTCCAATGTGTGGTAAGACTGGTGTTGCCGTTATTTTGCTAACAGTAGATAATATATCGTATTTTGCAATACCAGACTTGAACTTACACTAATGTGAATTCGTAAAGTGCAGTTGGTCATCTAATCTTTCGTTGATTTGTACATTGAAATTGGTTGTGGGACTTCCATTTTTTTTTTGTACGAAATCACAAGAAAAATTTTGTGTTGTACTTTTCTCCTGTATTAGTGCCTTTGTATAAGAGCACAGGTAATTCATTCTAAGGTAATTAATATGTGTCAGATGCTTACTATGTTAAAATGATTTAAATGCAATAAAGTATAGATGTAATGGGATTTATTTTAGCTTTTCTAACTGTGTATATATATATATATATATATATATATATATATATATATATATATATGTGTGTATATGCTTTCTGGTGTATGGTGGCCCCCAGTGAAAGGTGAAAAAAAAACCTACTATAAAAGGTGCAGTAATGTTTACTGATAAAAATAACATCGGCTATGGTCTTGGAATTGAAATTACCAATTTAATTGGGTTTTTTTTGCTATAAAACTTGTTGTATTTATTTTTTTTCAACTGACAATTCACTTATGCCTACAGAACGTTAATTCTAAAAAGGGAAATGCTGATTTTTATTTTACTGTGACATGGGAGTCTACTTTTTCTCAATAACGGTTCATGGGTTCTTTTATGTTTGAAAGAAAAATAAATTTATTTCTTTTTTTCTTTAGTTTTGAATAAGTTTTATTTTTATTCTTCTGAAACCTTGTATTGAACTTTTAGAAAAACGTAAAATAGAATGGTATTGAATTCTAGGAATCTAGAAGCTGAACTAAAAGGATTCAAATATTTGTGTCTCATTGTATTGAAAGAGTAAGGCCTCACTTTTGTCAAAGGAATAATTTATTTGTAACATGGTAGAGGAATCAATTTTTTAAACCGTTTTTTTCCCACTGTGAGTGTGATTAAACCATTTTTAATTCTAAGTTATACCCACGTTGCTGTGACTTTTTCAGATTCTATTGAACTGTGCAATTTGAGTCGAGCTGTGCTGCTCTTTAACCCAGACAACTATACAGCATGGAATATCAGGTATTGTTATTGCTGAGGTGAAATTGAAATGTATTTTTGAATTGAATGAAACATTTAGATTTCATTGTGTGCTCTCCTGTGGTCTTTATATGATTGTTTTATGTGCACTTGCAGAGAAAGAAGATAACTGTATGAAATGGAGATTTTTATGATCAAAACTGATTCATTCTAAATTTCCAATTCTGAAACTTTATCCAAGTGTAGTTTTATTTTTGTGCTTGACTTATAATGTGTTTCTCTGGATAAAAGATGCAAGTAGGAAAATGAATTTGACAGTCATTTCCCATAATAACTTCGCAGCCACAGTGTAAAGTTATTTTATGAACAGACAGCAACAGCATGCTGGATGTTTTGAAAAATTTGGCAAAAGCATTTGAACCTCGAAATACACATACACACATACACATTCACATGCATATGCTTATTCATACGCACACTCTCACACATACACACCAGCACACGTACACACATACAATCCCTCATGCTCTCCTTCATGATACAATTGTTTGACTTATTATTTCTGATTTAATGTCCGTTAGTTGAAGATAAAAATGTAGCAGCCCCCCCCTCCCCATCTCCAACTATCCTTTGTTTGCATCTTAAAGGAAAGAACTGATAGAGAACAGTTACCTGTCAATCAGTGATGACCTGATGTTGGGAGCTCTTATCTTGTCAAAACATCCAAAAAGTCCGGAAACATTTATTCACAGGTAATGTACACATCTCTAACCAGCTGTTGTTTAATGCCTTCTTTTTCTTTTAAAGATATATAACTATGGTAAGGTACATGTAACGCAAAAGTGAGAGTTTCCTTTTTTTATTTTAGCATTCACAAACTTTCGTACCTTGCTGTCTGTTTCTGCTATGTGTAAGGTAGATTATGATGATCTTTATTTCCTTTTTGAAACCCTGTCAAATTTTTAAAAAGTATGTGGTTCAGGGTGCCACTGATATTTCATGCTCTTTCAGCATGTCCTTCAGTTGCCTGCTTTTTCTTGTGAAAGTATCATCATATCTAATTAAGTATGTACATCAAACCTGCCAAGTAGTTTGATAAAATCGAACCTCTCAGGTCCCTGATTGGATTTGCACAAAATCCAATTTTTTCCCTTGAACTCTGCGTATCGCAAATGATGAGAAAATACATACATTTTTGAAAAATGATTAGTTGCATTATTTCTCAACTTACGGTAAATGAACTGAAAACACTGATTTTTTTTTTTTTTGCATGCATTTTCAATACACATTTATTAGCTGCTGTCAGTTTGTTATGTAATCTTAATCCACAGGCGTTCAAGAAACTCTGATCTTTTTGTTCCGAAACTTCTATTTCTTTGTTTCCGAATTCCTATTGTTTTAGAGGGGGGGGGGGGGGGGGGGGGAGGATTTTGAGGAAAACTCTTATGCCTGATCATGGAGTGTTTGACCGGTTTGGTATACTGAAATTTCGTGTTTTGCAGTTTATTTTATTTCAATATATATTGATTTTGTAGGATTTGAATGTTCATGCCTCAATGATGTAGGCCGTATAGCAGATAATGGAATATGAATCTAGCCAGTAGATATACAGTACAGTTCTCTGACTAGCCTCTGGTGATTAGGTAAAAATGTCCTTGAAAAATATTGGTTTTTAGTCAATTGAGCAGTATTGAACATGTAGAGCAAAGACTGAAACAACACAAGTAGTCACTTTTTCGTGATTGAAACAAATAAATTGTGGGATGGTAAGAGGGTACCATGGGTGGCTCTTCCTTCTCTTTTTACTGTTTGTTTGTCTTATTTTTTCCCCTTCTGTTGTTGTCATTGTTATTTAACCAGCAACAGCTGGGCTTTCATCTTTCTGTCCAATGCCATGAAGTGATAAGTGCGGGTTTCCTGCAGTTGCTGTGATGTTCCTCAGAGTGCGTTTCCCCTTTTCGGAGAGGCTGAAATTTTCTAGATATGCTTGACTTTACTCAAATTAACAATAATGAATGCTGTGTTATGTTTCTCTGGCTGCAGGCGGTGGCTGTTCCAGCAGCTCCTGGACCACTGCTTGTCCTCCAGCTCTGGTAGCAACACATCCTGCTCGGCCGCGGGGGCCTCAACTGACGCTGTAAACATGGAGGCTATAGATGTAGACGTGAGCGCCGCGCCGGAGCCCAGGGACCACCTCAGTGGCGCCTTCTCTCTTGAGTCGAGCCGCCTGCTCAAGTCTCACACCCAGAGAGAGCTGGAGATTTGTGGTGGCGCGGCGGACCACTACCCCTCCAACTACCACGCCTGGTCGCACCGCATCTGGGTGGTTCAGCACTGTCTCAACAGTTCTTTGCAGGTAAGATTTTGCCAGTTGTTTTTGGATTTTCAAATATTCTTTCAATTTTAATTTAGTTTTAGAAAGAATTTTACGGCACTTACAACACTATTAGATTATATAAGTGCCCAAGATTAGAGAGAGTAACATACAAAGAAAAGAAGGTGTCATATGGATTTATTGATATCATCTTAAAGCCAGCACATTTGTCTTGCTTTTGATGAAGAAATTGCCGTTCTTTCTTGAAAAGAAACTAAGATATATTCACTTAAATGAAGTAGGGGTCATCTGATGTCAGAAGTAGCTGTCAAAGTTTGGAGCCTTCAGAAGCCTGAGCGTCCCTGGAAACTGCAAATTTACAATCTTTGTGTCTTTGATCAACCTTTTTCATTAAAATAGGCAGAGAAATGTGTCTCTAAATGGACATAAAAGATATTGAGCAGAAAAAAAAAATCGATAAAAATTGCTCAGCAGGTCGAAAAATGTGAATTTGATCAATTTTGTTATTTTGACGAGCGTCCGATTTCACCGTGATGCCACAGCCACACATATAATGTTTTTCTAGATGTCATTTTCCAAAGGAGAAATGAAAGATCCTCCACAAGTTCCAAGTTTCTTTGCTCAAAATGGAGCCTTGGGGTATATTCCCAGAGAACCAGCAAAAAGAAGGCTCACAAAAATTCCTCTTCTGAGCTTACAAACTATTCCCTGTTCATATGTCTGAAAGTTCTCTGAACAGAATGCAACATGTCAATGCCAAATGACTTTACTATGTGTTTCTTATGTGTGTTACTGAATTCCAATGGCAGCTGATGCCCAATTCTTTGAAGGCTCTCTGCACTAATAGTAAGTCTAAAGGTGTTCCTTGATTTTAAAAGATGAAAGGTGGAAGTGTACTCATAGGTAAATATATTTTAAGCCTATCAGTGAGTGCCAAATTGTGTATGTGCTAGGGAGTTAAATTCTTCAGGATGTAATTTTTTTGGCAGTTGTTTCTGTTTGGACGTAATTATTTTGTAGCCTCTTGAATAATTGTGAGGGAGATAAAACAGCTTTATGGTACCAGAAACTAGGAAACGGTGTAGTGGCGTTATGTATCATTGGAATGTTCACTAATGTTACAAATGCAATAGAATGGAAATAATGAATCAAACTTTGGACCAGAAGTTACCAGTATATGGGCAACAGGTCCGAGAAGAGTTTAAACGACACTATGCAGGTTTCAAAGTATGTTCGCACGAACCTTGATTAAGCATGAGTCCTTTCTTTTTGTAGTGGTAGTAATGTTATTCTATTAACACGATGTAGTTAGTTCTTTTTATGATATTTTGCTGTATTCTTTGAAGTGGTATACCTTATAGTATTTAGGTGATTGAAGGGTGCCTCTGGTAGGTTCTGCTTCTTTACTCTGGCTCAGTTGTGTCAGTTTTGCTTTTTTTCTAGCACTGAATACTCGTTATTGTTATTGTTTTCACTGCTGTCCTTATGTGTACATGATTAATGTATGGGTGAGAAAGTTCGTACTAATGTGGTTGAACTGGTTTTCTTGTTTATATGAAAGTTTTTTTTTCTAGTGTCTTGTGTGTATGAGCTTTTACTCTCAGAAATCATGCAATCGATGTAAAGCACTCGAAGCTTACACTTGTATGGGGTAGAGCACTCTATAAATGCAATCATTATTATTATTATTATTATTGTGTCAGTGCACTTCTGTTTCCTCAAATCAAACCTTATGGTATCTGATGAGGCCATTCTGTATTTCAGGTTCTTCTGTACGAACTGAAAATGACTGAAGATTGGACGAGACAACACATATCCGACCACAGTGGCTTTCACTACAGACAGTTTCTTCTGTCGGAGATTCACAGACAACGAGCCCGCCTCACCAGCATGCACCAGCTTAGCTCAGCCGATTTGTATTCTCAGGAGATGGCGTATGTCTGTGATCTGATTGAGTCTTTCCCTGGCCATGAAGCTCTTTGGTGTCATAGGTGAGGTCACTTGACGGTACTCATTCTCTCTCTAGGATCAAGAAAAATGTGAAAGATTTTTAACCCCTTCGTGATCTATATGACATATGCCGTTCATCATTTTTTCTTACACGGCAAATGAACCAAGATGCTGATGTGACGTACATCGTTCGTTCTGCCTTGCGAGGTACGAGGACCATGATGGCGAACGCCGCTCGTCATGGGTTGTATTCTGTGTACTGCTTTTATTAGCTGTATTAGGTAAAATTAATCGCAGATTCGCATTTGGGAATATTTGTTCCGTAGAAAGAAGATTTTTCCTTGTATATATATTTAGTTGTATTTGAAAACCGGGTCTAATTATAGGGAACTGACCACTAAATCTAACGCTTGTCTGTGTCCTGGGGATCCAAAACTGTGTCCTTTCCATCACGAACTGACCCTGTGTCACGAAGGGTGAAAATTTTCATCATGTGCTATAGCTTGGTTCGGAAATTGGTGTACACAGACCTGCCACTCATCCCGATTCATCCTGATTTAATCGGGATGTCCCGATTTTGTGTCCCTAATCTCAAGCATCCCGATTTCTCAGATTTCGATGGCGTGTATCCCGATTTTTTAATTCCTTCAGTTGCATCGGATTTTTCTAAAAATTTACTGCGCTTTCTTCTCTGCCGCGGGAAGCACCCATTGAACCATTTGTCTGCAGAAACACTCTGCACTTTTTTGCTAAATATCGATGGCGGATTTAGTAGTTAACTCGCCCCAAGTTGTGTTGGATCTTTGCTTGCACGTGTTATTTCAACTATAATGGAAGTAGTATCGATTTGGTATCCTTACTACGAACCTCAAGATCTACTTTTGCTTTCGTTTCCACTCATAATTCTCTCATAATGGCCTTATAACTGTTTCAATTGCGAATATACAAGTGATCAATATTATTTTTAGTTCTATTGTTCCTTTCAAAACATGCTCTGTTCGAGTTCTGATTAGTCGGGCCTGTCATCAAAACCCTTCAGTAAAATTTTCAATTGCACGTTTGCTTCACGTGACTTGACGTCGCCGTGCAAGTAGGGGTCAACTTAAATTCATGCTCTTCTGTCCTCTTATGCCATGAGGTGTCGAGGGGAGATGCAATTGTCGCACGTGGGCCAGGTGTGTTACTGTTTTGATCGTCACGCTGTTCCTTTAGAGGGTCTCTCAAGAGACTTTGACTGCGTCGATCCATCTTTTTCTTTTCCTTCTTTTTGCCTTAAAGCCATTGAATGGCATGGTATAGCTTTAGAGGCTGGCTGTTGCGACCCCATTCTCATTACATGTCCAAACCAAGTTATTAGCTGTCTCTTGATGAATTTTATGTTCGATTCGATGCCCACTTGATTTCTGATGTTTTTGTTTCTGTCTCTGTCTATTCTTTCGATGTTTAAAGGAAAGGGAATGTTACTTAAAAAAGACCTATTTTATACCTTCACAGGAGGTGTCTATTCCAAACTGTCCTGAGGCCCGAGTTCCTAGAAGCAAATGCCAGTACTTTGTTGCCATCTCTGAACGGCCATGTCCCTGCTGCTGATCCCATGGACACAGATGCTACCGTGGTGCTGAGATCGGCGGCCATAACTCAGGAGCTGGAGCATATTGTCAAGACTGAAGGGAAGAATTCTCATAACTACCAAGAAACTCTTGCTGCAAACTATGGGAAATGGTTGCAGAAGCTGCTCTGACTTTGTGGCATTTAGATCTTTCCTTCTGTGTTGTGTGACTGTGTGTGTCTACACGATTTATAGAATCTCAGGTTCATCACTTGCTTTTCTATTGGAAAAATAGGGAGAGCTGGTGATGAACAAATGCTCTGAACAGTTTCTGCAGTGTTTTGTCTCTATTCCTCTGCTTTTGATATCTCTTGTCTTAGTTTTAAGTACAACCTTAGCCGACTGTGCCACTTTTTGCTGCTTTTTGCCATACTCCTTTATTTGTCTCTAATTTCAAGGGACAATAAAGGGTGTTTCAAAACCAAATTGCTGCCACATAAAGTTTTTATAAAATTTTATTCAACGTTGTGAGTTCTTCCCTCTTTTTCTTCTTTGTTCAGTTTTATACCATACTTACAGTATATAGCAATGCTTTTTGACACGATCGTATTTCTAGATATAACTTTATAGTTTCTTCTACTTTCATCTATTCTATAAATTTGATTTGGGGGAATTTGTTGGGCTTTATTTTGGAAGTGCATGTTTCCATTTGAAGACTGTTCTTTATCCTGAATTAAATTTTGCATTTACTTTTTAAAACACATCTGGTGAGTGTTTCCATAACAGAAAGCAATGTGGCTATTGTAAATGATATCCAGAAGCATGATTGTTGCTTCTGAGAATGCATCGATATCTTTTATGCTCTGTTGGGAGAGTTCATTCTGCACCTTATTCCTCTGGTCAAGTCAGTGAAAGATATCTTGGTGTGAAAGATGATTTAATATTTATCTGCCAAAACTGAGAAGGGTGGCTGGTTCACATCCAAAGCTCAATAAATAGCCAGTTCTGATCACTACCCTCTTTAAATTTAAGTGATCAGACACACTGCATTTATGCTTTTTGATTCTCTATAAAGGTGTCTATTGTGCATGTAAGTGGTCATGGGCTATTGTGTATGTAAGTGAGCCTGGGATTTTATTGAAGGTACATAATATTTGATAATATATCCATGAACTGATCCTTATGCTTACAGCTATTGTAATGTGTGTACAAATCAAAGTATAATGCTCCCATCCTGAAATGAACTGAAGGCTTTCATTTTCTCATCTTGTCAGAGTGATAAATTGTCTCCATTTAATCTTTAAAAGAAGTCAAGAGTCTTTGATTTTTTTACCTTTTCTCCCTTGTCTTTGTTGATAGTGTAAACATTCAATTTCTCTTTCTATTTCTATCATTTTTTTGGTGCTGTTTTTTTCATCTGTTGCCTATAAGAATGGGAACACAGATCGACTGTGTAAATTCTGTAGCTCTGGTGATTTAAATACACAAGTATTTATTGCTTTTTTGGTCTCTATTTAGTAATGTGTACCGTAGATCTCATTGCTGTACAAGTGCTCATCATTTGTAAGTGCACCTATGTTTCTTTTTTGAATCATCAATTTTATAGGGAATTTCAATGATCTGTATTGTGATACAAGTTTGATATTCTTTATTGTTATGTTTATATTTTCCTTGAAAGTCTTCCTTTGGGCTTTTGTGTTTCAATGGCCCCCTTGACTGGGATAGTGAGGTTTATCCTTCTATGTACTCAGAACCGGTGACTCAACATAGTGTGTGCTTCATTCTGCTTGGATTGTGTACCAAGCTCAGTTTTTACTTTGTGTGTAAATTAAGAAACTGAATATCTAGTCTTTGCCTTGTAATGGAAATCATGACCTCATCAACACAGTATTCATGTTAATATGCATCCTCACGTTTTGTCAAATTCGTAGCTATCATTCTTTTAGTATAAATCAAACTGCTTCTTTGTTGAAGTTATTTTAATAGGGTACACTTGAAGTTTTAACGATAATGTCATTTTCCTTTGTTCCAAAGCTAGCATTGTTCAGATTTATTGAAGTTTAGACATTTTGAATGCATGTACTTGTATAGTAACTCATATTTAGATGGTTTTATGATATGCGCAAAGTGAAAGTTCCACCGGCGTTGTCTGTGATGTAGCAATTAGATTCTTTGCCCCGCATGCAAGAGTGATTTTGTTCCCTTCATGAAGGAGATATTTTATTTAGTTTGTCTGCTTTTTTGGCTCTGGGATTAATCTAATACAGGCCAAATTGGCCCCTGACAACAATCTGCCTTCTGTGTGATCTTGATTGAGTTGATGGGGAATATAAGACATTTACAACAAATTGTGAGTGAAACTTTTAAAATGAAATTATTGCTTGAAGTTCATATGAAAAGTTTTATCTTAAAAAAAAACTTATACTGCCTCGTGTTCTCTTAAAAACCATTTGCTCACTGCTGTGGCTGTGCTGAGCTCGAAATGAAGCAATCTATGAAAGTTCAGGGTTTAAATTGAATTTGGGTTAGATTTTTTTTCATCTGTTTGGCAGAATATTTTTATTCCTAGCCCATTGTTCTGGTGAGGGATAGAGTGTTCCAACTTCGTATGTATTGACCTGTCATATGAATGTTAGAGTACTACGAGTTTCCTTGTACACCTTACTCAATACTATCATGGTAACTGGACCTTGTTTTGTCTTGGTAATGATAATACAATCGATTTCTTTTCTCTTTTATGCCATTTTGATCCCTGCTTCCAAGGGCACGTTCATGTCACAGAATAATGTGTTTCAAGTAGTTTTTATTGTTTGTCAGCTTGATTGTTGAGGAAATTTTCATGTTTAGTTGTTGTGGAGATTATTAAATGAACCTTTTGTACATTTTTCCTCTTTAGCGGGAGGAGCGACCCTCAGTTTGGCCGATTTTGGGTCAAGCTATGCAAATTGAGATTTTTTTTTTTAGTAGAGGTTTTGTGGCGCTCGCAACTGTTGAGATGTTAGCTAATTTTTAAAGATCAATCAGTTCTTTGTCTAAAAATAGCAAGGAGACAATTGAGAAAGTCTTTATTCTCTTCGTATATTGCCCTTGAGAACATGAGGGTGGGTTAATGATTGTTGTTTTTCTCAAAATGCCTTTTTTTTTGGTGCAGTTTTTCCCCTACTCCTTCCTTAGCTTTCATCCTTTTGACACGAAACTTTCAGGAAACATAGAATGCAAGGCGGCCATCACAATGTGACAGAGAGATTTTTGCGAAAAAGTAACACTTTTTCATTGGCAAGCGATTTTTCGCTACCAAACTTTAGAAACGGTTTCTATACTTTGGGAAAATTCTTTTTTTTTCTTTTACACAATATCGAAAAAACACTGGCTGTTACGTTGATAGGGACTGGTCCAGGTATACTCTCATCAAATTTGGTAAAATTTGGTTGGTAAATAAGAAAGCCTTATAAATGGATATGAAATTTCAATGTTTATTTTCAAGATGACGACCGTTTCCCTAGCCACCGCTGTAGCCATGCAAAAATGAAATTGTGTTTCAAAAGATTTTTATATGCCTAATATATGTGTACCTAGATTTGATCTCTGGCAACAAACATAGAAAATAGACCTCGCGGGTCTCTTCTCCCGTTAAAGGATTTACTTTTGAAAAGTGGTCTTCACAACAAAACAGATCGATTCAAATTTACATTGTTTTAAAAACATGTGGAAGTTACATATAAACTGTAATGATTGTTAAAACCAGACTGATACATGAAAATTTGTGTATAACTTTTGTTCCTATTTGAAAAAAATAAAGGAAGCTCCATATATTCATGGTATCGTTGTGAGAGAATTGATGTAAACTGTAAACACACATACATGCTCCCCATGAGGTAGCTTACGTCTATAGCTGTGTGTATTATGAAAAATTCACCTCATTGTGCACCTCTGAACTCGAAAGCATTGATCTTTTCCTTTTATTTGACTCTCAGTTTTGTCAGAGTAGTTATCCTCCTTTTTATATCTGTCTTCCAAAGGGTTCTTTGGTGCTTTGATTAGTGTGTATGTTGGAACTGTGAGGCTGTATGCCTTGCACACAAAGACATAAGTACTGTTCTCAGTTTGGTTTCTTCAAGTATCTCTGCCTGTCCTATAATGGGATGTATCCCACACCGCTTGAATTGGCTGTGAAGGGGCGGGGTTGAAACAGCTGTTAACCTCTTGCACTGTCTAAAATGATCGATCAAAGCATAAAATATTTTGTAGGCATCCGGCTAAAATGTATACTTGTCAGTGTTTTAAAAACTTTATTCTTCTTGAATGAAGGCTGCAGAGTAGTAATTATTCACAATGTATGTATGGGTAATTTCAAGCACCTCTGTGAACTGAATTAATTCTGTTTCCTCCAGTTTCTCAGTTTCTTATGTGATCTGATTCTGTGTTCACAGTGGAGTGCTTTGACAGAATTGCTTTTTCTCCGACTTTTTCATCAGTCCAGTGCCATTTTTCTTATTTCATAACAAGATTCTTTCAGATGCACAGCGTCATGCATTTTCAGTGCAAAATGATTTGCTTTTATTTTTGTCTTAAAGTCATAGTGTTTGAACAGATGCACCTTTGTTAAGGTTGTGCATTTTCTTTTACCTCAGTGGTTTAGTAATGACTTGATTATATTACTATTTCAAAACCTGTCCTGAGTGTATGTGTCCCTGTGAATGATTCATTTGACTGTTCAGTTCAAGAAACCCATTTGTCACATTTTTTAAAAACCTTTTTTTTTTGCTTTCCCATGGCCAGAGATCTTTTTCTGTCACATACCTTTTTGATGTGAGGATTGGGCTGTAAACAACTTATTTATAGACCAATCCTCACATCGGTGTTAAGGAGAAAGATCAGCGGCTATGGAAAAGCAAAAAAAAAAAAGTTGATATTAGAAAAATGTGGCTTACAGGTTTCCTGAACTGAACCTTTGAATTGAAGTCATGGAATGTTAGTGAGCTGTGGTTACACTTTATGATGCGCTTTTATTGCTTTACCTGAATATCAAAACAGACTGAGATGAGATTTTATTTCATTCATGTGTTGATGAGATTCTGTTCTATCCATGCATTATTTTCAAAAGGGTTTCCATCTCAGGTTTCTTAGAGCAGTTTTTGTAATTGATGTTAGGAGATTGTCATATGCGTCTGTCAGTTTTCTGTTTTGGGATTGTTATATGCATCGGAATACAGACTTCTCGTATTGTGAAACCTGTTGTGATCTTAATTGATGCTTTAGTCTTCTCTCATTCCTGTCCTGCCTTTCTTTTCAACAATAATGTCTAGACAGGATGAACAGAGGGTAAAGTAAAAGAATAAAATATCTGTAAAATGTGAGACCTAGTTTTGGTCATCTGTGACCTTTGCTGTAGAATCAGAGGGCTCTGGTGACAAAAACCCAAGTTAAAAATTTTCTTTTACTTCAAACTTGTTGATTTCCTTACTTGACTTGACAGTGCTGTGAAAGACATTTGTCACATCTGCTAAAAATTGAATTCCTTCCAAGACTCCGAATGTATCTTTCTTGAAACTATGATTTTTTCCAGATGTGTCCTTTTTGATTTTGCCTGCAAAATGGAGACATTGTTTTCTGTTGTATGTGTGTCTTGGTTTTAAAGTAAAATGCACATATTTGACACTTTTAAAGATAATGCACATTAATGCCGGTGATGCTAGAGTCATGTTGTGCATATATGTTGCTGACATTGTCTTGAAATTAAGATTGTATGCAACCACTTGAGGTAAAAGATTCTTTTTCCCCATGTACATATTGTACCAGTAGTGACCCTGTTTGGGTTGTTATTAGATAGTCTGTTTATAATATTGTTATTTGTACATAGAAATTCATTCTAAACATAAAAGAAGGCATAAAGTTACCATACTGTTTCTGTGCTAAGTATATCGGGTATTTCTGGGCTGACCTCGATTCAACACACTTTGTCTTTTAAAGTCACGAGTTTTGCTAAGGTCTAGTCATGTTAGTCTCAGCCTGTTTGTATGCACTACTCCATGTGTTCAGAACCTTGATGACATTATTATTGAGGTGTTTCCACAGATAGTTTGTGTCATTTTTTTTCCTCTTTAATTTATGCTCATCGAGGGGTACTCTTTGTTTAACGCTTTTAAACATTGTTCACTGACCCATTTCTAGGAGCCTTGAAACCACTTATTCATTCTGTACAGAAGTGCAAAAAGCAGCTAAATATAGATTGTATCTTTGCTCCTGAAGCAAAGTATACAAATTCAATGGTGTCAAACTTGATATTAGGTGGGTGGTTGGCGGTTGCTCTGGCGTGGTTTGCTTCTTCTTTCCTATGAAACATCTATCGTCCTTATCTCTCCTTCTTTTTTTATGTTTGTTACTCTCTTGTAACACTTCTAATCTTCTGGCGCTGAAATGACCTTATGCAGTTGCGAGCGCCGTAAAACCTCTACTAAAACTAAAACTAAAACCTGATTAGTCATTTGATTTTCTCCAGGAAGAGGGCTATGTTAAGAGGTAAATGTTATTTCACGTATGAAAAGGTTGTGTATTTTTCGCAAAATATGGAATATAGGCCTTTTGAAGTAAGCTGTCAAGTTGTACTTGTAAAAATATAGCAAGCATTCAGTTGGGTCAAGTCTATTTTGAATGTGTCAGTGCTAACTTTGTTGGTAATTTTGAATTATCAGTACAGTAGAAGTGTGTCATTTGCCCAGCATCAGTTCCACTACAATTTTTCTCTCCAGGAATAAAACTGCTTTCTTTTTCTTTTTTCCTTTTTTGTGTTAGGAGTATCCAATGGTCTTCACCCACTTGGCTTCGCTGGAGATGGACCTTAGATCTGGAGATCTTCCTTCTCTAATAAAAATCTTTGGGTTTATCAGCGCGGAAAGTAAACCCATGCCACATCATTTCATAATTAGGATTCTTGTTTTTTAATCCCTAATGTCTTCTGTTGAGGGGCTTGGCTGAAATGGTCTCTGTCGACCTAAATATTGTCTGTGTACCTGTACAGATATTTATGACAAGGAATCCAAAGTTGATGAATTATATCAAACAACATACATCCGGCAAGTGCAGTAGAAGCACCTGATAATGATTGGTAAGCTCGTCGTATATTCAAGATAGATGTAGTTGTGTAGTTTTTGTAGTGTTCTAAAATGAATTGATTTGTTGTACAAGTAATCATGTGGGATTATCAGAAATCTGAAAACACCAAGTTGGGTGGAGTTTATTTTAATTCGGAAAGCGTTCCCGCAGAGAAGGAGAGGGAAAGAGAGTGAGAGAGAGGGAAAGAGAGTGAGAGAGAGGGAAAGAGAGTGAGAGAGAGGGAAAGAGAGTGAGAGATTGGGAAAGAGAGTGAGAGAGAGAGAGAGAGAGAGAGAGAGAGAGAGAGAGAGAGAGAGAGAGAGAGAGAGAGAGAGAGAGGTGGGGTGGGGGAGGGGGAGAGAGAGTTGTTAATCGACAACCCATATTATTGTCACCGGGTATGTGTATTGAATTCTTCTGAACTTTCTGTACTTATGGCATCATCGAAAACTATTGTAATCAAGAATATGATTTGTTGCACGTGCTTAGACTGGATTTTTACACCTTGTGTAATTTACCGTTCACTTTACCTCTGCATGTACTTTTATGCAATAAATATTTTATCTTGAAAGTCCATTTTGAAGTCGTTAATTTTTTTGAGAGCATTCAAGTCCAATCAGAGAAATGAGACCAGCGTCAGTTGTGTAGCGATTAGGCACTTTGCCTCCATACACAAAAGACTTGAGTTTGATTCCTGTACATGTATGGGAATTATTTTTATCGAGTCTCCCTGACAGGCAAGAGTCGAAGCTCGCCTCCTAAATGATCTAAATTGTGTCGATGGTGGCGTAAAGTTTACATTGACAAAAATGAGGAATGGATGGTGAACCGTGACCGCCAATGTCTGCTTCAAATCTTCGATGATGATGATGATGATGATGATGATGATGATGATGATGATGATGATGATTTATTGTGTAACACTTTGTGACGTAACTGTTGGGCTATTTTCCCCCCAGTGATTTCGATCCTTTCCGTCATCCTGAAATGTTTTTCTGGGTACAGAAAAAATGATATTAAACTTTTGAGTTTATTTTGATAGTCGCACTGTGATTCTAAACAATGTTTTATTGTGAGTCTTTTTAATCGCTCCTGTCTCTGTTTTAGGGGGAAAAATCCTTAGATAATTCTTTTTCACATGGAGGGGAAATTAGGGCACGGATTTAATATCCGCCAGGAGCCCACGTTACGGAAATTGAATGAGCTAGAAGGGAAAGCGTAATCCACGTTTTTGTGAACAACTCTTCCTACATTTCAAAAACCTTTTACATAAAGAGCTCTTACGTGGCACAAACGTGTGTGGGTAGTTTTTGTACTCACGCATTCACACACCCATGCACGAGCGTGTGCGCACTCCAACGCCCAGATGCGCTCGTACACGTAAACCGACTCGTATACATATTCTCACATGATTGTGTGGGTGGTAGGCGGGTGCTCTGGTGTGATTTGCTCCTTCTTTCTTTTCAACATGTATCGTCGTTATCTCTCCTTTTTTTGGTACTAAATGTACTCTCTTGTAATTAGCGTCTCTAATATTTGGCACCTAGTAAGTTTATTCAGTGTTTAAGGTCACTGGCCCACATCACATCACATAAAACACTCATTTGATAAGTAAATTTTTAAATTTGAATAAGCACTGGTTGTGCACATATCTCTTATCATGGGTCAAACATTGCTTATTTCTGTCACTGGGCCGAGTCAGGCTGGGAGGGATTAACAATTTCCTTTGACGGACAAAGTGTGAACAATAGAAAATAAAGTGAAATTCATCTTCAATTTCATGAGAGTTACACCTCTCACACAAGGGCGAATTAGTTAATTTCCGCCGATACAGATTGTTATTTAATGGAATGCTATGCTCCAATACCGTTGGAGGTTTGTGATATATTCAGCTGTTTCTTGAAACGGAATTGTAAGAGAGAAAACATACTTGCGACAGACTTCTTCCTCTATGTTCTGCACAGAATGATCAACAAGTCTACTTTTTACTTCACTGAGAAAGAGTCTAGTACTTCCAACATTTTGACACCTAATAGTGTTGCGAGTGCCGTAAAATTCTAATTTAAACTAAAACAGTCTCATATGCATACTCAAGCTCGTTCTTTATCGGACGCATACACTCATTCATGCACGCGTACACTCACTTATTTAAGCCACGGTATTTACAAGCATACACATAAACACCTACGCACAAACAGACACACACACGCGCACGCGCGCACACATACGCCTACACAAACATAGCCCCCCCCCCACCCTTTTCACACACACGCACATAGTCATATTCTGGCAGCACCAACTAGACAGCCAACAGTTTGCAGATATTTGACTACATGTATCACATGTGAACTGTTGGGGTTCGAACTTCTTTGAGATAACAGCTTTCCTCGTCCAGCCAGGGAATGTCTCTCTCGGCCTGTAACCTTTTCATTGCAGTCAAAGTTACAGAAAGAAAAGAAAAGCCACATTGGTCGATCACCGTGAGAAATAAATGTTATGTGCAGCGGGACATGATAGCAATGTCATTAAACGTAATATACACCCATAAAAGAAAATATATGCGCGGGGAAAAAATATATATATTATAGAAAACTGTCCTTAGCGAAAATTTCGAAAACAATGCCTCGATTGTGTCGCGAATGAAAGCGCCTCTTTTGAAATCTTAAAATCATTTCTGAGCCTAGCAAGACGCAAATTTGCAGTGAAAACAGCATGCACCCGACATAATCATTATTGCACATCCTCTTGAGCCAAGATATCCCTGACCACTTGATCTGAAGTGTTTACCAATCATGTACGCTGTGTCCTCCATTCTCAAAAGATATATGGGGGGAGGAATTCGTGGGTGGTTGAGTATGACAGGGAAAAAAGAGGGGGCGGAGATGGGAAAGGAAGGTCGTAAATATCACATTGAGAGTGCGTAGGCGGAAGCGATGGGTTTTTCTTCACTTTTCTCTCTCCGCTCTTAGGAAACCCTGTGGGAAATGAACATAATTCGGACAACAAAACTGTCTCCTGTCTCGGAAAAATAATCGCGACAGGTTTAAGGAAAAAACAAAATAGGGTCAAGAACATTTCAGCAGCACCTGACGCTACGTTCTCTCGATAACGTCTGATACACTTCGATTTTATACAAAAGGTTAGGAACTTGGGACGTAAAAGTTTTGAGTTTTTTAAAATTTTGTGCGCTAATGGTTGGTGACAGGCGCACTGATTGGGTTATTTATAATTTATTTATTTACTTATTTATTTATTTATTTATTCATTCGTTGGGGGGTTCCCCGGGGTGAACAGGACACAACACACCAACAAACGAAGATACTCAATGAAATAACGTCCTTGTGCTGGAATCAAACTTAAGTCTTCTGCGCGCACCTGCAAAGAGCCCGACCATAAGTCAACAGACGTCACGGCACTGGTGTGATGGTCCCAGGGGAAGTTGTTCTTTTTTGGTGGTGGTTTGCTCCTTCTGTTTCTTGTCATTTATGTTACCTTATTGGATTGCAAAAGCCGTAAAACTCTCGCTAAGACTTAAACTGTTTCTATCATTGCGACGTGCCTCGCATCTGCATTATTTTCAATTTTGCAAGGGACGTTAACTCATACCATAACCTTTTTGTGTTTGTATCTTTCTTGTAACACTTCTAATCCTTGCCTATATGACCTTATTGTGTTGGAAGTGCCGTTTAACTCTAATTAAAACAAAGACAAACTCATACCATTTCACAGTTTCGGATTTGCACTTGGTGAAAAGCTCGGATGTGGAAGGATTAGCTGATCAGTTTGGTATGTCACTGGGGAATCT